TAAATCGATTATACTTCAATTTAAAAAAGTGAAAAAAAAAGAGATCCTATGGAAGTCCCTGGCCCCTTCTGCCACGTGAGGACACTGCAGAACCAGAAGGAGGGCTCTCATCAGACCAAATGTGCTGGCTCCTTGATACTGGACTTCCAGCCTACAGGACGGGGAGAAATAAATTTACCTTGTATTTAAGCCCCCAGTCTGTAGTATTCTGTTATTATAGCCCTAGGGAACTAAGACAGCAGCTATGAGGCCTGTTCTCAGTCTACATCTAGATCAGTTTCTGAGTACCTTTACTTTAGCTGAGTTACTCCCAGTGTTCTCCTGCTAGGAAGACAGTGAGTTGTTCGCTCACTCTGGCATGCTAGCGCTGGTGGATCTTACAAAGTGCACAACCTACGTGACATGCCTATAAGCTAAAAATACAACATCCTTGAGTTTGCCCCCTGCTACTAAAGCACGCTATTACTTTACACAGATCTTCAACGTCAAAGAGCAGATAAGATGGGGAATGCGCGTATATTTTCTACTTAAAGAGCAATCTGGCTTCTCATGACTATATTTCAGTGGGAAAGGAGGGGAAAATTGGGAAGTGCCTTATCTACAATCTTTACAGTATAAATTGCCTGCTTAGGCACTAGCTGTTCTAAGACTTGCTGTTGTTTATGTTTCTAAGTCAAGGATTCAGTAATCACAGATGCCGAAGACTAAGCAGTTCAAGACAGCCTGATTAGCTGTTCCAAAAAAGGACTCAGAAGATAGGCGAGTGTATCTTTTCAGCAAATCTTGTAACTTTGGGGCTTATTTTAATCGCTTAAAAAATTGTCACACTCCAAACGACCTCTGGGAGTAGGTGCCGGGCAGGGGGAGTGAATAACCCACAGAAAACTACCAACATCCAGAGTCCGGACTGGGGCAAGAGGGAAAGACTCACACACCCTGCAGAGCCTCCCTTGAATATGGAGAAAGGGCAAGTGATTTTAACCTTCAGCTAGAAAATGCCCCCTGTCCTTCCAGAGCCCTTAATCAACGCCCAGATAAATAATGCATCACTGAAAATAAGACAGAGCAAGTGCCCTGAACTCCCCAGCCACGACAGCAAAAGTGCCTGATCATATGGTGAGCAGAGGCCCCCTGAAGGTGTGAGGAGGGGGAGGCAAGGTTGCAGCAACCTTTTAACCAGAAGCTTCAAGGCTCTTGGATAAAGAATTGCAGCTTCCTGCAAAATGTCTTCTGTACGGTGCAGCAATTACAATATGTTGATTTCCTAATCTCAGCCGAAAAACCTCAGAAAAGCACTGTATAATGAACTCATAGGTTAGGACTTAAAGCAGAGCCAAGAGGCCAATAAGCAAAGAAGACAGAGAGGTGGCAGAAACAAGTGAGAGGGGCCTGTGGTCCACACACTCCAGCGCCCATCTCTGGGTACCATATGTAACAGCAGGCACCCATGGGCTGGCACTGTTCCATTGTTAGAAATCCCAGAGTCACCAGTTACCTTCCCGTGGATACATCTGCAGGCTGCCCGAAGGCAATCTGAAAAGCCATTGCTGCTGGTATACCTTCCTCTCTACCCATTTATCCAAAGCACTTAAGCTATCAATTATTTAAACAATTCTATTTCCTCAATACAAAAACATTCCCTTTAAAAGCTTTACTGGGTGTTGCATTTTGGTGCAAGAGTTCAGTTATACTATTTTTAAAAAAAAGAGGCAGGACAAGTGACCTTTAAGGGTGATGCACTGTGGACAGCATGCGAACCTAATGCCACAATGGGCAGGGAAAGATGGTGGCAGCATGGGGTGCCAGCCTACTACGTATGGCAGAGCATCATGGCACAAGAAGGCTTGGAGGAACCTGGTTTACTCTCAGAGGCTTACCAAGCCCTAGTCATAGCCCCAGCTGTCAAAGAATCCTTCTCACAAATGGCTTATGAGGGCAGATTTCTCTTTTGAACAGAAACGATTCTAAAGACTGCTGGGGTCCATGAGGAAGGCATCTTTGTCCCTACGGGGAACCCAAGCACGAAGTCTTTATATTCTTTCTACTTTATCAGCTCCCCAGAACTGAACTGAATCAGCGCCACACACGCACACAAATCAGTTGAATACAACCGTCAGCTGAATGACTGCAGGGAAAAAACTCATAGCAGAAAACTTTTAGATGATACTCCTTGGACAAATTACTCACTCGAAAATTCTTTTTTGTACATTTGCATCTCTTTGGTGTTTTAATAGAATCTGCTGTGGTACAGTGGTTATGAGCACACGCTCTGGACGGAGAGACTAGTTCAGATTCCACCTCTGCCATTTATATCTGTGTAGTCTCAGACTTGTTTTTTTTAATTAACAAGTTCTGTGCCTTAATATCTTCATCTGTTAAATGGGGATATAACTGAGCTGTTAGGAGTAAACATGCTAATACATGCAAAGCAATTAGAATAATGCTTAATAAAACTAATAAAGCTATGACTATTATTATTATAGCTCAAAACTGCTTTTGCACATTTATCATAGTGGTTCCCACAAGCACTCTGTGAAACAGAGGTGATCATCCTACCCATGTTTTACTGATGAATCTAATGAGGCTCAGTTATTTGCCAAAATAAAAAAAAAAATCTGGCTGAGCCAAGATTTGAATCCTAGTCTTTTGACATTAAACCTTGGATTCTTTTCCATTACTTTGCATTATTTACATGTAAACCACAGCAAAAATGAAACTGAGCAGGACCCTGCAAGGCCTTCTCAGGGACAGAAGCCCCCCATCCCCAACCCCTCCACCCCTATCCCCTGGCTCTTGTTTTTAGAAAAGCTTTAGCCTCCCCAAGTTCCAAGGGGCATATTTAATCAGAGAGGTGAGAAAACGCAGAAACAAAGGAAAACAGTCAAGCAAGACAAAATAATAATAGTTCAGCCATAAAACAAAGTCAAGGACCTTACTTAATAAGGGCTATACTTAATATCCTGAGCCATGTGTCTGAGCTGCTTTGCAGATACTAAAGCCCCCACCAGGTGGAAGGCGTTAACTGCACACTGACCACCAGCACGGAGACCCCAGACCGGTTGGAACCAGAAGGCTGAGGATGTTGACTCCTGAAATACCACCCTCTTACCTCACCAACAGCCAATTAGAGGGATGGGCATGAGCTGATCCCACGCCCTGAGCCCCTGTCCCTCACCTTGCCTTTAAAAACACTTCCCTAAAAGTCATGGGGGAGTTTGGGTCTTTTGAGCATGAGCTGCCCATACTTTCCTTCTCTACAACCTGGTGTCGGTAGACTGGCTCTGCTTTGCATCAGGCGATTGGACCTAAGTTTCATTCGGTAACAAAAACAGCCATTATAGAATATAGACACGCGATATATTCCTGAAAAGAAAAAAACTACTGAGAACAACATAGTGTCTATCCTAGGAATTCATTCTTGGAATAAACAAATGATCACTTGATGGCAGAATTCAGCTTACGTAATTAAAGCTGATTTTTAGATCCAGTGTATAGCAATCTGGAACCCCAGAATTCTGAAGCAAGGCAGGCGGAGGCAGGTTTATCAATATGCATTCTTCGTTGTAAATTTTACTCTTTAGGGAAACAGGTCAACTCCCATCTTGAGAAAAATCACAAAAAAAATGCAGAACCACGAGACAGTTGACTAATTCATTACAAAGGGAACCCCTAAAGGGCATCTTAAACATTTAAATGTCAACCTTGCCATCTTATTGTTATAATCCATAAGCCAACAGTGGACTTTCTGATTGCTAATATATTGATGGCATTCAGGCCACATCCTCTTAGATCTAGAAAACTGGGAGTCTCCTTACTAAGAATCGTTATCCACATGACACTTAGGGGAAGTTTTATGAGACAAGTAGAGGACTGGCGAGCATAAATGAACAACCGGCAAATCATTCTTTTTTCGTAATAATTTTTGTAATTCAGAGCATTTGAATGAGTCCTTGGAGGAGGAATTTTTTTCATGACTAACACCCTGTAGTATTTGCATCTATTTCTAATTCATAAAGTTTGAATGTGTTAGCCTTCAAGAACTTGTATGAGTCTTCTATTTAATAAGATCAATCTTTTAATCTGTGACTCTAGTTTTGGTTTTTAATATGTACTTTATATACAAATCATTCAAATTACCCCTCAACATAATTTTTAAGAAGCATATGACAGGTCCACATTAAAAATTAACTTCAAGCAAAGCTAGTGTGTTAAAAAAATTGTCACTTAAACAAAAAGATACTGGTAAACTCTGAATGACCAGCAAATTTCATCACAGATGTATCTTTTATTCAGCTCACCATCAGGGTTCTGCCAAATCTTTACAGAGTCCACACAAGACTTCAAGTTCACCTGAGTAATGCACATTAAAATGTCCACTCACTCAAGTCAACTGAGTATATTCCACTGCTAAAGAAACCTCCCTTTCATTTTAATTCTAAAATTGTTTTCATGTATAATATTCTAGAGATATGCCTCTCAAAGCCATCCAGATGGAAATATTTCACCTCCTTAGATATGTACTTAAAAATCTATATAATTTAAATAAATCTCAGTAGTGAACATTACTGAGACATAAAATTATGAAATACAATTTAGGCCAAAGAAAGGACTTCGATTTTTCTCTATTGGTCAGAGTTCACCTTAACACTTCATCCCTGCTCAAGGTGGTAAGACACTGCTATACAACCAAATTGAAAACAGATGGCTGAAAAAGCACCATTATGTTGAGCAATTAATACCTGGAAAAGTAGAAATCTCTGAGTAATCATTTAAGCTTCAGAGGTCTGTACTCATACTTCATTCCTACGGGTAATCCTGTGCTAATTCTACCCTTGTACTGATGTAAGGGCAATAGCTATGTATTCATGGACTAAATGACCCAACTCCCTCCACGTCAGTTAACATGTGTGTCTCAGGTCCCCATCACATGCTGCATAAATTCCCCATCTCCCAGGTTTCCTGCCCGCGAAGCCCAGGTCATACCACAATCCCGCCCTTACCTGCTTCCCGTCCAGGGTGTACAGGCGTTCACCACTCCCGAGTCCAGCTTGATGGCGTCCGTTATATCAGTGAGAACCTGCTCAAAGGAATGAGCAGTCTTCTTGTTCAGCAGAATCCTGACGGCTTTCCGCGGCTTCACTCCACTTCTGATGATGGTGACCAGCTTGGGCCGGATGAAATCCTTATTCTCCCGCACCTCCGAAGGGCTCCCTTTGGCAGTGGCCAGTGAGGACACCGCCCGTGAAGCCGAGGTGGTCTTGACGTTCACCGACCAGTTGGGGTTCACGTTCTTGGTGTACTCCAGCTTCTTGAAGGGCTCTATGGAGCCACACACGTAACTCTCTCCTAAGGAGGAGAGGAATATATTTAAATTTACACTAAGGTAAACTCATTTCCTTTTTCGTACTCGTTGATTTTTCCTTTTCTACCTAGAAGTGAGAGATACCTGTGACTTCTTAAACAATGGAGGCATGATTAAAAACTAAAAAGAAAGATTTTGATTTTTAATCCAGCTTTGTCAGCAACAGATTTGTATACTGGAGGGAAAAAAATTAATCATCATTCCTGCCTTTGTTCATCTTCAGATTGGTGACAGAAATACTGCTATTGAACAGCCCTCGGAAAGATACGGAACTGAATTCAAAATAGAAAGTATTTGGGGGGTTTAGGTATATTTACGTTCGCAGAAAACTTCAAAATCAGAAGTACATTTGCCACCTGAGGTAACTTAAAAACTGAAAATGGATCCAGAAACAGCTTCTTAAAATACTTGTGTAATTTCTAAGTTTGATGGGAGTGTTTGCTAAACATTTTGTAAAGTCAAGTAAAATCCCAAAAGCAAGCAGAATAAACCCCCTTCCTTTTCTTCCATCCACACAGGGCCAACCACAGACCCACACGCACGAGGAAGCCAAGTCATACTCATTTATAGAAAAAAGGTTTCAAGAGTGGTCAGCTTACAAACTTCATGAGCTGACTTTAAAATAAATGTAATTATATAAGAGGAATAAGATCTGAGGATCTAATGTTTGGCATAGTGACTGCAGTTGATAACACTGTACAACTGAAATTCGCTAAGAGAACAGAACTTGAATGCTCTCACCAAATAAAAGGGAAAAATGATAAATATTTGAGATGACAAATGTATTAACTAGATAGGGGGAATCCTTCATATATATATACCATATATATGTAAAATCATTTTAAGGTACACTTTAAGTATCTTACAATTTTATTTATCAGTTATACCCCAATAAAGCTGAAAACAGAAAATAAATATATAAAACTAAATGTTTATTTTAAAAGTGATTCCTTAACAGAGAATCGTTTAATGAAGATAGACTATTAAATAGATGTGGACCACATAAAAAAGAAAGTAACATATGTACCAAACGATGACAAATTATAAAATGACTGATACTTCAAAAAGTTAGGTCAAAGCATTTTGAAATTAAAGATTTCATAATGGCTTTTTTTCTTTGCTAGTAAGTCTATAAGCGGGAATAGGCAACAATGCTAAAAAGCCTTCATAATTGCAGGTAAAGTGGCCTAGGACTAATCCTAGCCCATTTACTTTTATCTAAATCCTTGTCCTATTTTTAAAGTAATAGTGCAAGCACCCAAGGCCATGGAACAGGTATTCACATAAAAATAAGTGAACCAGGGTTTCAAAAATAGAAAAGCACACTTACACATGTTATCAAATACTCTGCCAATGTTTTCAAAACACGCTCCAATGTGTGTTCATACGTTACGTCTCACTAGAAGTGGTACAAATAGTACAAATTCTGGAAACCCCCTTTCCATTCACTTAGCAGATTGTTATTGGTTCCAACTATGCTTTTCTCAAGATGCGTGTGGCTCTTAAAAACACACCCACAGGGCCACAAGAAGAAGGGTGTTTCTGAAGGCTTTGTGGAAAGACAGTGTGAATGTGATGGTGGGAAGGGAACCGGAACTCTGGGCTCGAGACTTGGCCTCTCAGCATGGGACTCAGTCAAGTCCCCTCATCTTCATGGTGGTCGTTGATTCGCCTGTTGGATGAAGGCTAATGCCAGTGTTCACTTTCATCTCACCACGTTTTTGTGATGATCAAATTAGATAGCAGAGATCAAGTGATCTCAAATGCAAAATTGCAACACAAGTGAAAACGATCCGAGGCTGCAATGACCCGGATTGTGCAGGACGTAGGTATTATACTGTAAGGCGTTCATTACTTCTAACTACATGGTTATCAGTAGACATAACTTGGGATCCCTCTCAATGAGAGGATGCCCCAAGCATTCCCCCACAAGACATACGGGCCATAATTTTAGCTGGCAAAACCAGTCTTTGTCAGAATTCTGTGCTAATCGGAGATAGGCAATTGTCTGATTGATTGTAATTTTATATACTAAGCTAATAATTAGCATCAAAACAAAAACAGGGAGCGGTTTGTGCTTCCACAAAGGAAACTTTTTAACTTTAAGAATAAAATAATTTTAAAAAGGAGGAATTTTAAAGTACTCGTGTAACAGTATGGAATGGGTTTGTTGAAAGAGAAAATAAACACTCTTTTCCACGTCTCCTTAGACAAAGCACACTGAAAACTTCTGAAAGGATGACAACTTTGAGAGGGTGACGTGGGCTTGGTTCCAGCAACGACAAGGAGAGAAAACTTGTGTTTAATCAGTACTGTCATTTTGAGGCTCCTCTTCCTCGTCTGTCAGATTCAAAGACTGGAAGAGAATCCTGGGGAAGAGTGTGAGGCTCCAAAAAAGATAATGTTGTGTTAAGAGGAAAGTGACAGCTCAAGGGAGAGGAAGGAGCTGGCCACCGAAGCCAAGACCACACACCATGCAGTGCTGTCATTTAGAATCTATTACATTATTCAGGAATTCAGGAAAAGCCAAGATGGTTTCCGTAAGTTAACAAGCTTATTAAGCTGTGCAAATATATTTACATTCAGTCTATCTGATCCACATTTTGACTCCTTTTATTTCCATCATAATTCTAAACTCCTCCTCATCCCTAGAGATGCAGCCAGTCTTAATGCAGTTATATTAAAGTTGATTGTGTTTTGTGATTTTTGTAAAAATTTGCTTTTCAATGAATGTGTTCATGTCATTGGTAACTGTAAATTAACAAATGTAATGGTTCTGAATGGGAAAAATACATAGTCTCGATCTGGTCAAATGGCTCTGGATAGTCAGGGTTTAATTTCTTCCTTAGCTGAGCAGAGAGTTAAGAGACAGGTTATATTCTTGATCAGAGAATCATCAGTAGGTGGCATTCAAGACTGGATGTGAGGCATGTGCTTGAAAGGCCATTTGAAAGTAGCCAGATGAAGTAAAGCTTCTCATTACCATCCTTGCTTCCAATACATGCTAAGCCATCCCAGGGTTTTTTGGAATAATTTCAACTATCACAATGAAATAAAAGTTAATGTACTTACGTCAAGGTATATTTGAGCAATATAGCCCAAAACTTGCTTTGAAAGTTTTGGGTTGTTTACTGTGGGTGAAATTAAACAACAATGGCAAGATAGCGAAGATTACAGATGGTTTAAAGAAAATGATATAAAAATCTATTTAGAGGTGGAACTGGAAATTATGAAAGATAATGACTTGCTGCTTGGTTATCATACTGTCAGCTTTATTCCAGTTTATCAGAGCCAAAAACTTTGTGTTAGACTGACCCTTAATTTGAAATTTAATACTCTGGGTATCAAAGGCACCCCAACGAATAGCAAGAACTGCAGAAACAGCACCTGTCTGAATTGCTGTGGGATTTACAAAAGCCAAAACCCCCACTAATATTTGCCGTTAAGCAAAAAGAGAAAGAAAACAGTTTAAACCAAAAAAAGGTAAGGAAATTGAAGTATGAAATTATGTCTGGATCCAACCAACACCTCCTAAAATATCAGAATAGAGAAATTTTTCCCTAAAAGACCTAGGTATTTTGGGGGACTTTGGAAAACAGAATAATTTCTGTGTAAGCATATTAGATTATTTTAAAGGTAGTGAAAATTCCCTGTTTTGTTCTCAAAAAACCGCATATACATTTTTAAATGATCGTACTTGCTGTTATTCTTCAAAGTATGGAAATAAATGTTCTCTAACAAAGTTTACTAGTAAAGAAAATCTGTAAAGTTAATGCCACTTGGCCATTGGCTCCCATTATGAAATTAGAGGATTTCCACTTAACAGAAAGAAAGTCACTACGGAGAACTTCCAATAACATGGTACCAGCTCCCTGGTTGGCAAAGCCTGTGTTGAGTCAGCTGGAAGGTATTCCTCCACAAGCTCCCACAGGAGGAGACAGCAGACGTTTGTCCTGACTGCTGGAGGTTCTTCATTGGCTAAGGGTCGTGACTTATAAATTCCAGCTACAACATCACTTGTCTTCAGTCTGAAAATGAGCTAATCTCCACTCTTCATATTATTAAAGCTGGCTGTCACCTCCTTTAGGATTCCTTTAAGCTCCAAATGTGGCGTGTTCAAACGTATCTTAAGGGAGGGCTCTGAGTGTTATATTTCATTTTTTCCAGAGTATAAACTTTCTTATTGAAAACTCTGGAAATGAAAATTCACTATTTGAGGGTTACAGTAAAAGTTGGGAAATATTCAAATGTATATTGAAACTTCTGAAACTAAACTGCGTTAAATTACATGAAAGATATTATTGGTGGAATAAAAATCATAAAGTGCCTTCTGGATATTTTATTTTATGAGCCTATCACAGAGATATGCAGCAATATTTCCTAATCTACCTGGGAGGCGCTAGTTTAAGATGATTTTGATAGTGCTATGAAAGGCAAGAAAAAAGATTCCCAAAGGCACATATGGATCATTCTTCCATGGAAGTCTTTTATAATATAATAGTACATTTTTAAAAAAGCTTACTGAAAATAAAATCTGAAAGTCTATGTTAGGCCTATGGAAAATGTCAAGTCAAATTTAAAGCAACAGAAAGATAAGATGAAGAAAAAAATCAAGAGATCCAAATTTTTTTTAATTTAAGACTGCTATAATTGAAAACCAGAGAAACTAAAATTAAAAGAGGAAAACAGACTGAGGACCTATAATACAACAGTGTGTTAATATAATGTGTGAAGCTTATTCTAATTTACAAAAATACAAGGTGCTAAAATAGAATAAAAATGCCACTAGGGACATCATAAACTGACACCAACCTTTTTGGAAAGCAACACAGCAAACTATTTGGAGCCATGAAAATGTTTCTTCTCATTGCTAAAAAAATTTCCCTAAGGAAATAACAGAACAACAAATAACAAAACTGCATCAAGTACAAATAGCACTAGCCATGAAACCTAAACATTTTAAACAGCCTCCTAAACTCTCAAG